TTGAAATGTGGTGGGAATCCAAAAAAGTTGATCCCAATTCAGTAACTCTATCTGCCACGAGCTCTGTTGAGATAATTTCAAGGCTGCGCAGCAATCGATTTTCAAATCATATAGTAAGCCTCACACACATGACTAAATGGAGCAACACAACACCAAATTATCTTATGTTTGACATTGTAATGAAATTCAAACGAAACATTTCAAAATATCATCTGAAACTACCAATTTGGGTTGTGGTTTACGGCAGCAAGGGATATCACAACAGTTTACCTGAGGATGTTTGGGACAGATGGTATTCGTTTTATGACAGCGAAATGCACATTTATCCACAAACGATTTTGACGAATGATCCACAGGAAACTAGAAACCCGACGACAAAGAAATATGTCGATGATATCAAAACATCTTTACAAACGAAAATCAATGCAAGAGCAACTAAAACAGCGGTAACGAATGCGACAAAAAGATTTGGTATTGAGGCAGTCTTGCTCATGACAATAGTTCTAGAGTAAAATTTTATATCAATGGAGCATCGGATCATACAACAAATGTAATAATGTAATAATGTAATAATCACAACCACCGGTCTGTACTAATTCACATTTATAGATGGTATCAGTCTAAGCATTTGTCACGTCTCAAGTTTATCTTGAACAAGCATTTTGTGAACACAACAAACGGAATAATTGTTCAATTACCCAACACACACGATTCTTGGGAAACAAACACTGTTTCCGTCATGTTGTATCTCCAAGCCAACACATCGCTCACTATAGAGGCATATAATAATAGCGGTTCTGTTCTTCTCGACGGTTTGAATTACAGTTATTTGATGATAGTGAAACAAGATTGAACAAAAATCAAGATTTTATTATGCGAACACTTAATAAAATGAAAATCAAGAGAAAACGAAGTATTTTTGGATTTAATCATTTAGACACTTCGCTTGATAAAGAAACCATTTCAGAGATCAAAGACCTTTACAAATTTTATCAAAAGAAATATTGGTGTTTCTGAAAGACTTTCTTTCGTCTCAAACGGATAAATTTATTTTTCAAGCTGGGTAGTTCAGCACTAATTGTGGCCGGTACAATTGTGGGTGGAATAACACTCAACCCAATTCCTCTCAGTGTTATAACAGGTTAACACATATAACAGGTATAACACATTGATTTTGAAAACATTCACCGAACACAAAAACTTGAACCGAAAAATCGAAATGTGCAAATACGCTTTCACAACATACCAGAAAGTATTGACTGACCTTCGATCTTGCTTGAGAGGAAAAAAAATTCGAACACGATGCTTTTGTCAACGAGATAAAAATAATCTATGATACAATAATTGACCTTTGTCCAACCATTAGCACTCACGTGGAAAAACAATACAAGGAAAAGTTCGATCAAGGTCAAACTTGAACATTGTCTTTCACGTTGAAATAACCAAAAGCACTTGCAAACGATTTTTTCTTTTCACGGTTCATGAAAAGAAAACGACTGTCGAATAGAATTTATTCTTCTCCTTCATCCTCGCTTTCCTCAACTGTGACTAATGCTTCTCTGGGTTTTAGGGGTTTGACATAAACATCATTCACTACAATGAACCAAACGTAGGCGTAATTCCAACTCGTTTATTGTGTGTCTAATGTGTAATCGCTTCTTTATATATAGGTAATATGAGAATCATTAAATTAATCAATCAACTGTCACTGTACAAACAAAACGAAATATCTGGTTTCACAGGTAAAGAAATTGTTCTGGCGTGGGCGCGTCTCCATGTTTCCGACACTCCCCAAAGTTTATTCACTGCGTGAGAAACTTTCAAAATTCACGAAATGAAAATAAATCAATGTTCAATTATTCACGAACTGTTCAATTGTCTGCTGATTTCTCCAACAACCGCTGCGGTGCGTCGAGGTCTCGCAATGTTATCTCGCATAACTTGATTATCTGGTTGAACAATAGTAGGTTGCGTTGAATGTGTGACTTCATTGATCGCCTTTACTTCAATTGGAATCAAATGTTGCACTACTCTTCGAAGATAAACAGGACGTTTATCTCTGCTTGTTGTCTTGACGACAGCAGCACGAACCCTTCCATCGGTTCCAGGAATAAGTTCTTCTACTTCGCCAGTTACCAATAACATCTTGTCGTCGAATCGTTCTTCAGCAACACGATATCTCCGATCGATATTTCTCGAGCACCATTTCCCTTGTTTCCAACGCTCGACTGCTCTCGTAAACTAGTAAGATACTCTCTTCTCCATTGCTTAGTTGACTGCTGAAGTAAACTCTTGTGATGTCGAGCTCTTCTTGTCAATGACCTGTAGGTACTAATGAACTCGTAATGTGAGCTGTTTGGCGTTCAGCTGATCCGGCGACCATAGATAAGATCCGAAGGTGTCAAAGGGTAAGAAATTGAATCTGCGTCGTCGTACATGTATGTAATGGGTCTTGTATTGATTACTGACTCGATTTCCACTAGCACAGTTCGGAGTTCTTCGAAATTGAGAGTCGAACGACCAAGGACTTTTTTGAGAGGTCTTTTAATACTGCGAACCAATCTTTCCCAAAAACCTCCCCACCACGGGGCCCTTTCAATAATGAAATGCCAGGAAATTCTTTGGTTTACTAGGTATCGCCAAACTTCGTCTGATCGTGCAATCTTGCGTACTTCTTTGCACGAAGACTTGAATGTTTTGGCATTATCCGATGTAAGAGTCGCAGGTAGACCTCTTCGGCTGGCAAACCGTCAGAAGGCTAGCAGAAAGTCTTGAACGCTAAGGCTTCTACATATTTCTAAGTGTACAGCTCTTGTTGACGCGCATGTAAACAAACATATGTAGACCTTCGATTCGTTGCGTTGAACTTCAGGACTCTTGGTTTCGATGAACAGTGGCCCAACAAGGTCGAGACCAACATGCGTAGACGGAGAATCTTGGGATACTCTTTTGTCAGGCAGATCGTTAGGCGGCAGAGAGCTGTAAGGCATGCCTTCGAATTTGCGACATGGTATACATTTTGTAATAAATTTCTTCACGGCTTCTCGTCCACGAAGCACCCAGAACCGTTCCCTTAATGTTGTCAGAGTATCTCGTATTCCACTGTGTTGGGTAGAATCGTGTGACTGCTTTATCAGTAGCTGAACAAATTCATGGCTTGCTGGTAATAGGATAGGTTTCCTTGAATTTTCAGGTAATGGTGAATTGTTCAATCGCCCCTTACATCTCACAACGCCTTCTTGTAGGTATAAGCCAAACTGTGTGACATACGTTGGCGGGGTCGACTTGTGATCTTCGCGCTGAAGGAATTCAATTTCCTTGGTGAACGACGATGCTTGCACTGACTTGATCCAGAAATGCTCGGCTTCCTTTAGATCGGTGGCTTTTAAACTCACTTCTTCTTCGGTACTCTCTTTCGAACTCGATTCTTGAACTTCCTTGCAAACTTGATAACCAGGGCCGTTACACGGAGCAGACTTGTTAAGTTGTGAAAGCGCCTTATGTCGATTATCTGATTGATTCTCCTCTCTGGAGTGTCGTCTGAATTATTCACAAGTGAATGCGTGACAGATGGTGAATTCTTTACAGCTTCTTCAAGAGCAACCTTATCTTCGGATTGTGTCGATCGGTTAACGGGCCATTCAGATTTTGGTTGGTAAAGGAATGCTGCGCCATAGCACCAAGTCGTATCTGTGGAAAGTTCCTTAGCGGAGAAACCACGAGAAGGTATATCTGCAGGATTCAATTCGCCCGGGCAATGTCTCCACTCATCCTTGGAGGTCAATTTTCGAATTTCTTCCACACGATGCTTGACGTACTGTTTCCATACTTGCTTGTTTTTGATCCAGCACAAGGCAGTCATCGAGTCGGTCCAATTGATTGTTTTCAATTGTTTTTTCGTTAGAATTGAATTTGTGAACAAGTTGTGCGAGGAGAACTGCTCCTAGTAATTCCAGCCACGGAATAGACTGTTTCTTCAACGGCGCTACTCGTGATTTTGAGGCAACCAAACGAACGTCAACTCGTCCGTCTTGATAGAGTGAATGCATGAAAATAACTGCTGCATACGCACGATGAGAGGCGTCGCTGAAATCATGAAGCTTTATTTATACAGGTCGTGACTGAAAATAACAACGCGGAATTCGTACATTGCTGAGGCATTTCAATTCTTCAAGTAGCGTATTCCAAGTGATGAGCAAAGTTCCCTTTAAATCGCTATCCCAGTCGATTTTGTCTAGGCAAAGTTCTTGAAACAAGATTTTCATTGCAACGGTGAAAGGTGTCAGAAATCAAATGGGATCGAATATCTTGGCCGTCAGTTTCAGAACTGAAAGTTTGTTGCCGGAAGTGAACTGCCATATTTGTGCAATTCTGTGAGATCGAAGAAAAACTCATCAGACGCAGTGTCCCAATCAAGTCCTAGAGCCTTGACAATCGTGTCGTTCTTCACTTCAGAGCTACTAGGTGTAGTCGATAATTTGGCGTATGACTCGTCGTCCTTTGTCGTAATATCTTGATTCGATTTGGCTTCGCTTGATTTTTCAACACTCTCGATCGCTCTCAACAGGGTGCGCGAGTTTGAATTCCATTTTCTAAGGTTGAATCCGCCCTCGGCCATGATTTGCTTTGATTTCTTGTAGATGACGAGAGCCTCCTCGTCAGTTTCTGATCCGGTAATGAAGTCGTCAACGTACAAAGACTTTCCTAACATTTCCGCCATCTCCGGTTCGCTTTGCTTGTACAAACGCAAATTATGCTTTATTGTGGCTCCCAGGATTGAAGGCGAAGGGCGTAGACCAAAGACAAGTCGATCTCTGGTTTCTTCGCGAACGGATCTTCGAACCATAGAAATCGGAGCATGTCTCGATCTTCTTGTTTGATGCCCACCATCAAAAATGCTTTGTCAATATCTGCAGTAAGCCCGATGGCATTCCAGCGAAACTTAGTTAACATGTGGAAGACATGGGGAATATAATTGTCTCCAACTTCTAAACAATCGTTCAGAGAGCGTTCTTGTTTAGAATTCTTGGCTGATCATCATAAACGATGCGAGCCTTTCTCGTTTCTCTATCCTTTCGCACAACAGCATGGTGAGGTGAATAATAAACCCTCTTTGTATTGAGCTCGTTCGTATTGTTCAAATTTGGCACCTTTTCGACGATTTCCGTTCGCGTTTGCTCTTGTATAATCTTGTCATATTCGTGAAGTAAAATCGGCTCGTTTTTTAAATTATGATGCAAAGATCGCAGACGCGTTTCACACATTCGATAATTGTTTGTACATGGCAAGCAGTCTTCCTTCCATGGGAGAACCACTTCGTAACGACGACCAATAAAAGAGATTTCTTCGTTTCGCTTAGCTTTAAGTAGCATATGAGTTGCGAATTCGATGTCGTCTGTGATTCCGATGCTTTCGGTTTCCCAGAACATTTTCAGCATATTCGTGATCTCGTCAGCTTCATTCGTTTCGTTTTACAATGGTTTACCAGAGATGATAAGATTCGAGACGACATTGGAAATTTCATGGACATGTTGCTCTTCGGCAGGACCTGACAGAAGCCAACCAAACTTGCTGTTGATGGCTGTGGGAACAAATTCACCGCGGATTGATTCTCCCGTTACAATGTCGCAGTAATAATCTGAGCCATTGAGAATGTCAATATAGTCTAGGTCGATCGCAGAACGGTCTGCTAGATCTAAATCTATCAAATGTGGATATTTGGTGACGTCTATTGTCTTAGGATGTGGCGAACAAATGACTGGAAAATTAAGCGCTGAAATCTCCAAGTACTCATCTTTATTGCTTCTTAGTGGGAAAGTAACAACTTGACATTTTTGTTTACGATAAGCGTTTTCACCAAAGGTGTTAAGGTGAAGGGTCTCAGTGGACGTTGCAGTTAAACCCAGCTTCGCTTTGATGTGGTCGGTGACGTATGAACGTTGGCTGCCATTGTCAAACAAAATTCGTACGGGAATGGACTTGGATCGGTCTTCGTTTGTTACTATCGCGGTAGCAGTTTGTAACAAAATGCTCCCCTTGGCCCTCGCGGTCGACGTTGCGGTTACAGTGCTCCCCAAGGATGGAGTTTCCTTTCCTTTTTCAGGGTTTGTTGCGTGGTCTATTTCAATCGTAATTGGTTCTCACAAGAGTCGACTTTTGCCCTTCCCTCGAATTCTGATCGTTCAAACCAGACGTATCGGAGCTGTAATCGGGGTTCTTTGGCACAAAGTTTCGGCAAATCGACTGATGATGATGGCCCTGACATCGTTGACAGTTCCTTTTGCATGAGCCACCATGGTGATCAGGTTTCAAACAAACGAAACATCTTCGACACTTTCTCAGGATTTCGAAACGAGCATGAGAGTCACTCACATTTTCACAGGAAGCAGAGTAATGTAATCCACCACAATAGACGCATTCAATTTGATTTCTCGAAGACGAAAATCGTTTGCCATCTTGAGACAAAAGCGCATTCATGGTCGGCGTTTTATGATGATTAGGGTGGAGTTTCTCAAGGCTCACGTTGGTCTTCACACCTTCACTAATTTCGCGTGCCCCAACTTCCTGACGGATCACTTCTAACAGGTCGGACATCTCCCACACCTCCCTCGCGGTATTTCTAGCTACTTGAATTCTAATTTCATGAGGTAGCTTTGACATGATCACAGGAATCAATAAACTCCCATACTGGTGAGAACTTACACCCAACGATTCCAAACCTCTTATGTTAATGCTGATTTTGTCATAAACGAGACGAAGTTGGGACGCTTTATCGCTAGTACATGCTGCAATTTTAAGCATTTCGTCCATATGCGTCGATATTATGTTCTGCACTCTGCCGAAGCGTTTGTGTAATATCTCGATGGTAGACTTGTAGTTGGCCTCAGTTCTAGTTAGCCCTTGAATCGCTCTCGCTGCCTGTCCCTCCAACAGTGAATGCAAGTGATTAAATTTGTTGATTAAACTCAAATGAGGATCACAGGCAGCCCAAGCTCACTACGAGAAAAGCGGACGTGACTCTTACCGTGTTGCGTAACGTTTTATATTTATAAAGGTTTGTATGGGATGTTATCGGTTTGCCTTAAAAGAGAGAAAAAAATGTCTTGTTTTGAAATA